TTAAAATGTAGATCATCGCAAATTTGGATGTTATGACAAATTTAGAGCAACTTTGTTATTAATAAAAATAAAAATCCAATTCCGCTCAGGAAAAGTTATTTTCCGCTCAGGAAAGAACAAAAATAACGGAACATTTGTGCAAATTTTGAGGTAGTGTTATATAGTCTGTGCAGCGCCACTTTTCTAAGTGGCACTTTTTCAATTTTACAATACTCTTCACATATAAATTGTTGATCTTTTTTTGAAATGTCTATTAAATGTGTGTAACGCCGATCTATCCATAAAAGGATTTTTATCTATGCTTGTTTAAATAATTAAAGCCACCGTTAATTTATAAAAAAAATAATAATTTTCTTAAAAATAGAATTAAGCTTTAGTTTAAGAAAAATGGTTTCTAATAAAATTTTGTAATAAAAATGAAGGAATTTTAGTTAATTGATCCAAAAACCAATTCATCCATCGTATTATTTTTGTGAGGAAAAAAAAAATTTTCAAACAACTAATTAAAAAAAAAAAAAACAATGTCTTCCATTTTTTTATCTACATGCTTCATTAAGACTGTCTCCTCCACTGACAGTGTAATTAGTGGAAGCGCAATATATAAATCAAGCCTGACTGCATTTAGGGAGGTTCAGTATAAAGGATTTTTCAGTGAGCATAATGTGGTTGACTTTACGAAAGGAACATTGGTCTATATTGTGGGTTGATATGTGTACGAAGATAACATGGAATACGTATGTATATATATTATTATGTGTTTTTGATTAATTCACCATGCCATGTAGAATAAATTAATTATAAGAAAATAAAAAAACCTTTCTTTTAGATCTCCCTCATTCAAACAATCATAATTGACAATGATGGTAATATAAAACCTGAAGATATAGAATACCATGACCCATTGCTGTTGTTTTTGGGGCCGGCCACTTCCCATGCACAAGATACCGAAAAAAATTATATTAAAATCAAACAGAACCTTTACAATCAAGTCACAAGGAACAAAAATATACAAATGGAGGTGTTTGTAATGTACCAAAATGTAAACAATAAATACAAATTTCTATCAAACAATATAAAGTCATCAATATTTTCAGTCATTGGGAAGCTTAGGATAAGCACTGCAAACAAACTCCATCTCAATTCGAAAGATATTGAGTGGAACACTTTGGTTGCTGAAAACAACAGTAGCAATAGTAACAGCAATAACAGCAACAACAACAATGGTGAAGATGAGGAACTCAAAGCAGTAGAAAAAAGCTTTGATAGCAAAAATCAAAGAAAGAGAAAAAAGAAAAAAACTGAAAAATCATTCAATTCCATGGATAGAGAAGAAAATTACAATCAAGCTTTAGCAGAATTTGATGGTGGTGATGATGGTGATGATGATTGATTTTTAAAGATTAATAAAATTTTATTTGTATTTTATAAAATATATATATATATATATATATACATGTATTAAATATTTTGATGAGTAAAATTAAAATAAAAAATAATACATTACATTATCAAACAATTAATAAATAATTTCAAACAATCAATTAATAATTATACCGTATATCTTTTTCCTCTCTTTACACCACATGGTTTTTTTTTAAAAAAAAAAATCATTGTTAGTGTATTTTTTTGTTATTTTCAAATATAGAATGTTTTCATTTTCTACAACAAAATAAAGCATAGTCTTTAATAAATGAAAGAATACGATGAATTTAATTTGGTGTGATGTATGCATGAGTTATTTAAAAAACATGTTCAAGTCAAATTTGGATTAACTTATACTTGCAACGTTTTAATTTTTTTTAAAAGTGTAATAATGCCTCCTCACCCTGACTGTGACCATGGTTGCTTTCTGCAGATGGTTTTTTAGTATAACAAATCCTTCCAATTCTGCAAAAGGTTGCAAGTATTTATAGAAAACAGCATCAATAATCCCAACTAAAAATAGTTTTATCTAAAAAATTAAAAAATAGCATTTTTATAAAATAATTATCAGCTCAAAACTCAAACTCATCTGTATATTTCCAAGAAGACATGCCCAAGCATAATCTGCAACAGTTTCAATTTATAAACTACCTTCCTGAAGATGTTGACAACTCTGACAGTTCTAAAAAATTTAAATCTGATTACTCCTTTTTGAATTCATACCCAACGAAATGAGATCAATCAAAACCTTTCAAACTCTCCAAACCTTAACAATGTCAATGTCCATCATGACAACACGGATAACTCTCATGATCTCAATAGTGAAATTCCTGATCTTTTTCCACCTTGGACTCCTTCACCAGCCTCCAACACCTTTTGAATGAATTCGAAACTAACATATTGTATGAACATTCAAATATCCCTTGTGCTCACTGTTCAATGCTAATGATGAAGCACTCTGTCAAGTGGGTGCCCTACAACCCAAGTGAATCATATAAACTGGTAAGAGCTTTTCCTGAAACTCCTTTATACACACACGTGAACAATAGAAATATTGCAATGGATGCGTGAATCCAAAGACTCATAGGTTTCCTCCATTGCTAAAAAAGGTTCCCATTGAGATCAAAAATGTTCCCATGTGTCACAGAAGGTATCTCTCACCAGTTCATATGAATTGTTCATTGGGACGTGCCATTGGATCAAATTCTTACACCAATTACAGGCATTTGCAGGGCACAATTGGAATAACACATAATCATCGCACCTTAGAACTTTACTCAGGCATTGTTGGAGCCTTCCTCAATGTCAATGAACCTCTGACATGGTTCCACAATACTTTAACTCCAGCATCTGAATGGCTAAAAAATAACAACCCTCTTCTGAAAAAATATGCAACCAACGTTGTTATTTCAAACCCTTTACCAGAAGATACAGTACCAATCCAATTTCCACTAGCATGTCAAACAATTGACAGTCATGAACACACTTTCAACAGTTATCACAGCAGGCTTCCAGATGAAATGCAACACCCACCTGATTTGGTCGTCCCCAATGACTCCTTTCTTCCAGAAGTGCACAATGAAGATGCAAATTACAACAGGTTGATAGCAGGATCAATTGTGTCATTGGGCAATGTTAAGCTTCCAATATTATTTGGCAACCCTGATTTGGAGGCTTTGATGTTCCCAGATATTTTCCCAAATGGGAAAGGCCATTGTGAACACCTTAAAAATTTGTTGAACTTTCAACCCTCGATAGACAGCTATGGAAAGTATATCAAGCTAAGGATGCTATGCCCTGATCCTCAATTTCACCTCCATTGGTATTGGGGGCATTGGTCCTATTTAACTCTTGAGAAAAAACAAAACTTTCAAAATCAGCATCGAATATTGTCCACAAGAAATGTCAACTGTAAACACCATTCAACCCTGACCAATTTGATCACCCAAAGTTCATACAGTGACTGGAACATCTTAAATGAAGAGAAAACCACAACATTACCTTCCAACCTGAGAACAGCCGCTCCTTTCTTCAAAAAGAAACAGCTACAAGTCAATACAATGATTGGTGCTTACGAGTTGCCACAGACGTTCTACACATTAACAATGTCTGAAGGCAAATGGATGCACTTGCATGAAATCTTAAGATCCACCAACAATGGTGATACCTTGCCAAGCAACTGACCATTGCACACCTACTTGCACTATTGGAACAAACTAACAAATCTGAGGAACAAATAAAATAAAATACAATCAATTTCTAACCTTTTGTCTCGAATAAAGATAACAACTTTAAATCCATGAAAATTACCTGAAATAAAATACACCAATTTCTATCCTTTGTCTCGAATAAAGATAACAATTTTAAATCCATGAAAATAAAATACATCAATCTATCCTTTGTCTCAAATAAAGATAACAATTTTAAATTCATGAAAATTATTAAATCTAATTTGAAATAAAATAAAATACAATCAATTTCTAACCTTTTGTCTCAAATAAAGATAACAACTTTAAATCCATGAAAATTACCTGAAATAAAATACACCAATTTCTATCCTTTGTCCCAAATAAAGATAACAATTTTAAATCCATGAAAATAAAATACATCAGGCTGGGCTTCCAGAATATGACGAGTGCAACAATCATTATTTTCATTTGAATCATTACCACAACACCATTTTTTGAACTTGATTATTAAATACAGTATTTCTCAATTTATGTTGCTTACCTCCAGGATTTAAATTCATATGTTTTGCACCATGAGAAGTTGAGTTGTCAAAAGCAAATATTCCAACACAACCTGGATGCATTGCTTCAAAAATTGGTACAGCTTTTTGGATTATCTTTTTATAAATAACACAATATTTCACCTGTTCAGCTAATTTTTGAATATTCCAATATCCTTCATGCTGTTTTCCAATTGACAAAAAAACACAAGCTTCAGTTGGGAAACTTTAACTTCTGGTGAAAGTTTTAACAGTCCAATTGACTCTCAAAGAAAATCACTAACATGATATCCACATCCTTCTCCTTTTTTCAATAAAGGTTGCTGATTAGAAGGACCCCAGCCAGATTTTGCACCATCATTGGAATGAAAAGTAGACTCATCATGGGTTACAAAAATATGAATTTTTTCACCTTCATTGAGATCTGGAAGTATGCAAATTTCAAGATTATTTCCTATATATTTTGGCATTAACCTTTCATATCTAAAAAATAATAATTAATTAATTGATTGATTTTAGTTTAATAATATTTTGCATAATAATAATTCATAAATATACTCTTTCATTATTTCTAAGAACTTTTTACAATATTCAATGACATCTTCACACTCATGTCCATCATAATAGACATCTTTGCTATAAGTTTTGAAGTAAAATCCCATTTTATGCAGCCATTGGTGTGCTAATGAATGAAATATTGAATAAATAAATATTGATTGCAGTTCAAATTAATTTATATATATTTAATGAGAATTCACCTTATGTTTGTTTCTTTTTCAACCCCAACACATGGAAAAATAACAGATGAAAGGTGATTAATAAAATCATTAATATTAAATTAAATTTTTTTTTCATTTAAAAATTTGATTATTCTTAATTTAATGTCTTCATCATCTAGTAAACTTGATGTTTTTCTATGCAAACCATGATTGGAAAATGGAATAGAATCTCCTCCTTTAACAATTTGTGCCCATTCTCAAATACAGCAAGCAAAGTATTTACCTCTATCTAATTGATTTGCAATAGATATACTTGATTCTAACTTTTTTTTACCTAATTTAATTAATTTTAAATATTGAAGCACAGCTGTAAGTCGTAATTTATATCCATTACTAAAATCATTATTTTTAAGCTGCTTCTCTAAGTCACTAATTGCAACTTCTGTCATTTCTTTATCATTATTTTCAATGAGTTCCTCAGAACTTTCATTTCCACTACTAACATCTGCTTCACTTTTTTCAAAAAATGCAATTATTAATTGACCATTTTTTTCAGCATTTTTCTTAGCCTCACTTTGTTTCCGGCAATAAGTTCTGGAAGAATTACCTATATAACGCAAAGATCTTGATGATGAAGTGTAATTTTTCATGGATTCATTAAGGATATCAATATATTTTACAGAATTTTCGTCTAATTCTCTATCTATTCCTCCTTCAAACCAACTTTCTTCAGACTCTTCATGTGAAAACTGTCCTAAATTAGTTTCCAATTGATTTTCATTACCAAATGAGCTATTATTTTTTTTGTCTAAAGCAAGTTTATTTAAATGTGCTTTTTGCTTTTTAAGTTTAGGCATGATTAATTGATAAATTTCAAAAAAGATTTAAATTTTTTTGAAGCAAAAAAAAACCGCGTTAAAAAAATTGATTTATATTTTGTCACGTGACAAGTGTAACATGGAATCCAAGTTAATTCCAGCCAAATATAGCAATTTTGGTAAGATTTATGGTGGACAAATTGAGACCAAACATAGAATAATGATGATTTTTAAAAGCTCATAGCTCCATACAGAATGGGATTTTAAAAAAAAACTCTTCATTTTTTGTTAATTCAAGCTTCAAACTAACTGATTATGAAAAGCTTTTTGATTTATTTTATTTGTTGACAGACTAGATAGAATTAAAAAATTTCATGTAAAAGTTGCCAGGACTAGACTAGATGCACCATACATACAATTTTAAGCATTATAAAACATTAAATAAAAAATTTTTTTTGCACATTCCTCCCACGAAAAGGTATGAATGAAGGTTTTAAAAAACACTTTTAACTTTTTTAAGTATATAGAACAAATAAATCAATTATACTGTATTTAAAAAGATACCTTGATGTGTGACTTGAATGATTCATAATGTTTGAACAACCTAGTATTGTGTGTTGGAGTTGGTAGAGTTCATAAACTTTACTTTTGTCCCCAATTCATTTTTTCATAATTTCTCTCTATGATGAACATTTTAGTAAACACTCTATGATGAACATCTTAGTAAACACTCTCTATGACAAACATCTTAGTAAACATTCTCTATGATGAACATCTTAGTAAACATTCTCTATGACAAACATCTTAGTAAAAACTCTCTATGACAAACATCTTAGTAAACACTCTCTATGATGAACATCTTAGTAAACACTCTCTATCTATAACAAACAAATTACATATAGAGATGGAGGGTTGGTTGTATGGAGAATGAACTGTATATATACCACTAATATAAAAAATTTTTTTGTCAAAAGATTGTTGAATTTATTTATTTAAAATATATATCCTCTTCATGTATAAAATTAATTTTACATTACGACCAACCTTTAATGTTAAAGTATGCACATGAAGTGTATGTTTGTAGTAGTGAGCCACCTATTGTTTATTGTCCGGTAAGATACTTTATATATAATTTCTATTTTTTTTTTTTTTTTTTTGAGGATTCTGCCATCTTTAACATAAAAAAAATTTTTAACTTTTAATAACATGTGTATATATTACTTATATTATTTATATTACTCTTTACCTGTTCATTATTCACTCACTACTGATTATTATAATTGTTTTGATTTCATTATCACTTGTAGAATTTTAATTGCAAACAACTACAGGAAGTAAAATGTCATTAATATTAATTTATTTAATGTAGTGTCTAAAAGTCATTTTTGCTACAAATTTGACAAAATTCAAAAAAACATAAAGGCAATTGCCTTGTGAACTCAACTTTGGTGGATCGGCTGCTTCAAAACACTTGTGTATAAAGTTTTATATGTAAAGTTTGATTTTTTACTATGAAATGCGCATCATTTTTAATTTTTAAGGCGTGACAGTTTTGGATTCACAAAATCTATACGTGTAACATTGAGTTGTCCCCCCCATTTATTTACTTACCCCTAGGTAATACCAATGTTCACTTTGTCTGTGTGGACAATGGTTACACCTTTATCCCTCAGTTCATAGGAATAGAGCCTCAGCCTGGGAAAACATACACTCACCTACCATAAGTATCTGACCACCCAAGTCATGTAACATCAAATAAAAAGAGTCCTTACTAAAAAGTAGCGTTTTCTTAAATAGAACCGTTTTTACTTTACTAAGTAGACTTGTACTTGATATCAAAATCTCTAAATTACCAAAGCTTTGAAAGGTTCAGTATGGTATTAATGGAAACATTTAGCAAATAGTCCAAAAAAGCAAATTTTCAATCAGAATCTTTACATATAATAAAGGTCAAATTTCTTCATTGTAATGTATATTATTTCATTAATAAAATGTGCTCAATGTAACAGATTACATATATCCACAATATGGTGTTGGCATAAATTAGTTTGTGAAAAGGATTTAAAAAGTATCCAACCACCCCATAATTCTATTATATAAAACACTTAATAAAGTTGACAAAATGCAAATTTTAAGGCTTACATTTTGTTGTCTATGCTTGATCAAATTTTTTCAAATTTTAACCATATATAATTCAAGATATTTTAAGTGGACTTACTTAATGATGTAATCCGTGATTCAATGGAGTTTTGAAGGTTTTTACTAAGCTCAAAGTTCTCATAAAATCATGGGATTTTTTGTCTAATTTAAACTTTTCATCCTAAATTCATTTTTAAGTTTATATGCAAATTAACTTTTAAAAACATGTTTACTTAATGCACTAGTCCCAGTTTGGTTAATAAAATTTTGAACTGCATGAGGCGTAACATTTCCCGATTATTAAAAATGATCATCAGGTGGTCGGATATTTATGGTAGAGGAGTGTACATGTTTTTTTTTTTACAAAAAAAAAAAAAAATAGTTTATATTCATTTTGCTAAATTCTTAATCGGCTCTTAATCCTCTTCAGTTTCTATATCTTTAATAGTATGAAAATGATCATGACACTTTCAAATCCGTCATATGTCAATCCAAGCCTTTGCATGAAAAGTTGTAATATACTTAATATACTTAATATACTTCTTTTGTCCTACTACATTAATTTATTTTTTTTGCAAAAAAACTCAAAAGATTATTGATGTACATTTTTCTTTCTTACTTGTATTGAAGAAAAAAGATTTTTTTACTTTGAGGATATAAAGATTATTGTTTCTGCGACAAATTCTCTGATTCATAGATGGATCATCAATTAATAATTTCTCTGTTTAAAATAATTATATATAATCAATCTTTTATAAACTTGAATGTGAGTGAATTGGTTATTATATTAATTTGTTATTAATTAATCATTTATTTGAATTAAAATGGATTTAAAGTTATTTTAAAGACTACAAGGTTGACGGCAATTAGTATTGGAATTGGAGTATGGATATGTATATAATAGTTCATTAATATATTCTGATTCTAAAAAACGGCAGTAGATAAATTATAAACATAAAGAATTAATTTCTAAAGCAAAGTTGCATATGCCGCTTGCAAAAAAAGTTGTAAAGAAGGTAAATATATATATATTGTAGGAAAAATGTATAATTGAAAAAATCAATAATAATATTTATTGTTATTTTCGTAATTAATTAATCTAACGAATCCAAATGATCCTAACTTTGATTTGAAGAATCTTTTTTTATTTACACGGAAAACCATTAATTTGTGCTTGAAATGAATGTTTGGAAGTCGTGTTACAATAAAATGAAGATCATATAATTTCAAAAAAACCTTAAAAAAAAATTTTTCCTAACAAAAAAAAATTAAAAAATGGAAGAGCAAACTCAAACTGTTATCGAACAAAATGTTAATGTTGTTGATACCTCACCGACTGCTACTTCCACACCAACTGCTGCTCTAACAGCAGCCTCAACACATATTCAAGCACAGCAGATACAACAGCAGCAACAAAATCAGCATTTTATGGAAAAAGTATTTGAACTTTAAAAAAAATGAAAAAGATTCTAATAAAATATTTTATAATTTTGTAATAATTGGTTTTTATTTTTATTTTTTAAAAAAAGTTTTGGACTAAACAACTTTCTATTGCAGAAGAGTTTGAAAGTGATTTCAAAAATCACCCATTGCCTTTAGCTAGAATCAAAAAAGTAATGAAAAGTGATCAAGAAGTCAAGGTATTTTTCAACGAATTATTTTCCGCATCATATTATCATTAGCATCACCATTATCGTTATTATTAACGATTTTGATCTTTTGCTTCTTATAATAATTAATTATTTATTTATTTAGATGATTAGTGCAGAGGTAGAATTTGTTTATTTATGATTATTGTATTTGTGAAATTTTATCAAGAGAGAAAGATAATAATACATTTTTCGCACGCACGCACGCGCGCACGCACATATTCACACATATTTATTTATTTAGGCGCCAATCATATTTTCCAAAGCATGTGAAATTTTTATATCAGAAATTACCATGAGAGCTTGGATTCATGCAGAAGAAAATAAACGTCGTACACTGCAGCGAAGTGATGTTGCATCAGCCCTTAGTAGATCTGACCAATTTGATTTTTTGATAGATATAGTTCCGAGAGAAGAGGTACCAAAAACTGTAAATAGAAGACCTAAGGAAGAAACCGTAGGCGTTAATTAATTATGCTTTTTGAGAAAAAATAAAAATAAAAAATTTATTAAGCAAATTTTTTTTAAAACTAAAGTCCACAGAAGAGGTTTTTACTACTGATCAAAATGTTTCGGCTTATTATGCTACACAACAACAACAACAACAGCAACAGCAACAGCAACAGCAACAACCTGGTGGCATCCAATTCACTCCAGATAATAATGAAGCGGTTAATTATTTTCAATCAAATAATTAAAAAATTCCTTCTAATCCCTTCTAATCATAATATTGGTGTATCATCATCATTCTTATTGTTTTTATTTGTTTTTTGAATATCACCTATTTCAACCATTAATTCCATCTATCCAATCATATGCACTTAACTATTTTAGCTAATTAATATCAAAAAAAATGAAATTGTTGGAACTCTTGAAATTTACTAAATTTGCATTTGGGCACTTTGTGCTTTCTCTCTATTTAGTACTGGTAGAGTAATAATAGTATTAATCTAATTAGTGGTAGGTAGCATACACATCTATATATACATATAAAAAATTTATTTAATTATTTATCTAAAGTAATGTTATCATTAATTATTATATCAAATATTTCTTTAGAAATTAAATAGAAGTAAATAATAATTTATTAATTTAATTTAAAAATGTATTTTATCATATTGTTTTAATAAAATATTGATGCGTGAAATAGTTCATGTGATCGCATGATTTTTTGGGGTATATGATAGATTGCACAAGTAACAAACTTTTTCGAGGGTTCAAAATCCACAATTGGTATGAAATCTAGGATTTATTGTTTCTTGAATATATATTTTTTTAAAAAAAAAAAGTTCTAAATGTCCAAGTTATTAATTAGCAAATCAAATCATTCCAAAAAATACACCTTGTTCTTCTTGAATCATTCATCTTAAGGGTGATATCAGAGATAATTTTCAATCTTTTTTTTTTAATTTAATAATGGCAAGTTTTTTGTTTGCTGCTGGAAAAAAACTGATGTGAACCAAGTATTGAAGTAAGTGTCAACAAGCTTTTCTTAAATTTCCTAATCAAAGTTGGTTTGTATTTGTCCATTGCTGATGAACGTTTCTAAAATAACAGGATTTGTGCTTTAATTGCCAAGTTACCAGACTTGGCTTATTAGAGTAGAAAATTCTTTATATTGGCACAGGAAATTAACTTCAAGAGGTGCCTCATTGCTTCAGCTAAGGCTTTTTACAAAAGTTGTTTTACCAATTCCAGGTGGCAAACTATTTACAAAATAGATGGGTATTTTTTACATACAAGATGGAAATTATATAAAAATTTTCTTCTTCTCCTCAGTAATGAGCCAATATGAAGATGGAATAGGATAATGAATGGAATTATGTGATTAGTAGTGATGACTCAATACATGAATTGTTTAAGAATGATTCAAAAAATTGGGTTTGGCAAAGACCTGATGAAAAATACAAGAAAGAAAGTGCATTCAAGACTAACTGTCCAAAAATCAAAATGGGTAATGTTTTTTGTAAGGATGAATAGGTCCTCTTATTTCAGTCAATGAAAGTATTGATTCTGGAACATATATATAATAATACTTGAGAAAAATCAATACTATTTTTGATTCAATCTGTCAAGTAATTGCATCTTTCAGGATGATGATGTATGTTCCTGCATGTAAATCTCAAGTTATCAATCATAATAACACTTCCTTGGTCAGCTCAATATCCTGGCTTTGATTCAATTGAAAATAGAAATTATATTTCCATTATTAAATCTGTGATTAAATCTGCAAGGCAAATAAAATGATGAAAACATAGATAAACATATATGAAGCCATGCCACTTTTCTGGAACACCAGCTTATGTTGCACCAGAATTATTAATAATAGAGCCTTGAAGTTGAAAGCTGCTTGTAATGATGCTGGATATAATTGTACTGCCAAGTATGACAAATATATGTTAATTTGCCATTGAGGAAATTAAATAAAGATAGAATTGATTTTACAATGATATTGCTGCAGGTACCCAAGATTATTTGCTACTAGAATCAGATTGAAGTTGCTGTAAATTATATATAAATTTGAGACAAAGTATGTGATGTTTGTTGCTTATATGGGCATGTAACAACTGAATATACTAATTGGAGTGATATCTACTAGTTAAATAGTAAAAATGTACATTTCACACTTGTGTTAAGGAAATTTTTATATAATGTGATATAACTCAGTGAACATTATGTCACAAGAGATTTCAGGGATCAAATTAGTCAATGGTAGTTACACAGCATGGTGGAATTTATTTTTATCCCGTTTGTCACTAGTGACGATCTTGAAATTATATTGTGTAACTTAATAACTTTAAAAATGAATTCATATATGTAAAGTCACGTTTTCAATTGACAAAAAAATTTTTTACATAATAAATTTTACAATTCGTTATAAAATAAAGAAAGAAGAGCAGTTAATTACCAAGGGATCAGGATAACTTTAATATTTACAAAGTTTTATTATTATTATTATAAAATACCAAATTTTAATTTCTAATACATTCCTAAAGTCCAATGATGTTTTGTTTATTTCATATTCATCATTATCATTATCACCATTTTCATCATTTGATATTTCATAAAGTAATTATTATCATCATTATCATCATTATCAAACATTTTGTAACAAGTGTAAAGTTTTATTATTGTTAATATTAAGTATACAATAGATATGATGATTTTATGATAACTACTAAAAACCTTGTCCTCACCACAGCAGACTATAATCAAATTCTTGTTATAATGGATTTTAAAATTTTTGCTTCACATATAAAAATCCATTGTGGCAATAAATAAAATTTTCTTATGTGTCCCATTCATCCACTGTGACAAGGTTTGACTGTATGTATACACTTGAATTAACTTTAAATTCATTTGATCCTATTCGAGGCTAAATTTCTTTCGCTCCAATATATAAAATTATTTTGTCTTCAAATTGCGTGATGACCTTCGAGCCAATAAAATCCAATTTTTTCGTGAAATCTAGAAGAGATCATCGCAAAATTTAGCCAACGAAATAGAACTTCTACTATGCTGAATTACACATAATAACTTCCCAATAAAGAAGTTTTCCGTATTAGGTGCATTATATAGTAGTAATAGTAATAGGTGAGAAAATTGAGAAACCGTCCGTGTAACTTCCTAGATCAAAATTATTTAAATGGCGTTATTTTTTTTTCTTATATTAATATGAAAAAAATAGTTATTTTTCTAAAAAGTATTTTCTCTTAAAAAATATTTTCTAAAAAATACCCTTTTAAAATTTAAAATTTCATAATGAGTGAAGTAAAACAAGACATATTCAACACAACTACAATTGATTCTTCATCAAAAGATAATAAAATATCTAATGAAGAAAAAACTATACAGTTTCAAATAAATGGTTATTATTATTTTATTATGGATGGAGATGATAAAAATTTTGAAAGAAAAAATTGATTTTAGCTAAAAAATTTTTATTTATTTTCTTTAGACACAGATCATGATCTTGAATCTAACAGCAATAGTAATCAATTTAATGTTAATAGCAGTAATATTTATAATAATAATAGTAATGATTTAAGTTTACAACAATATGAAACTCGTAGTGTGGAAGAAAATACTGAACCTTGGAAACCACATGGACCTTGGTATAAAGATGTTACAAAACGCAGATGGTTTACATTTGGTTTAATTGCATTTTTGATAGCAGTCGTCATTATTGTTGGTAAGTAAAATTTTTATCGTTTTTATTTCATATTTTATCTGATATTTGCTAATTGAACATTTTTATTTTTTATTGTGACTTACATAGTTCCAATATCAGTTTCACATGCAATCAAAGATAGATAAATTTATATATAATAAAAATATTAATTAATTTAAATAAATATATATTATTCACTTTTCCGATTCCCAATTTTTATACAGTTGTAACAAATACTTCTATAAATCAAAATAACACTTATATACATCTATGGTGTGATTTTCAAATAATTGGCTAAAATTGGAAAAATTATTAAAAATAAAAATAAAAATTTTTCACTCTCTTTCCTTCCCTCTTGAAAAAAAAAACGAATAAAAATATTATTGTTTTACCTTTGTGATTAATTTTATCATTTTTAGGACTTTATATATTTTTCAAGATTGATGAACAGTCACAATATAATAATAAAGAGTATTGTCAATTCTATAAAGAGTATTGTCAACTCTATAAAGAATATTGTCTATTCTCTAATAGTAGCGAAGAAGCTGATAATTATTTCTTTGGATCATCACCAATGGTAGAAGATGATAATTCAAATTTGTTGGTTTCAGCATTATCATCCATTATAAAATATCCAATTTACAACTATGAAATTGATGATGATGACGATGATGACGATGACGATGATGATGTAAAAAATATTTGGCAAGTTAAATTTTGATGAAATTTATAAATTAAATCTAATAGGTGACAAATTATCTTTAGACAAAAATCAACTATATTGTAATCATAATAACAACAATAACAATGATGATCCATTTAATATAAAAATAAAAAAATTTTATGGAAAAAACTTTACATTTAAAAGACTTATATATAGAAACACAACTATCAAAGAATTAAATTTAAGGATTAAAAATATTTTTAGAGCCGATCCAATTATACAAAAAATTGTATTTAATGGAAGAAAAGTTGCTGGTGGAGATAAAGATTTACAATATTATGGAATCAAGGAAAATAGTGTATTGCATTTAGACCTTTTGCCATTTTCATCATCACCTTCTTCTTTTAAGGATAAGAAAGATAAGAAGAAAAATATCATATTCAAGAGATTTATTAATCCAAATTTTATAAACAAATTATATGATAATGCTTTTACATTATATAATGATTTTAAATACTCATCTTCTTCATCACAATGTAATTGGATAAAATTTGCAATAGACAATAAACAAATAATTTCTAAAGACTGGAAGATTTCTTATCATGGAACAAACACAATTCAATTGCAAATCAAGGAAATATTCTTCTTAGACAATTACAACACCAAGAACATCATCTTTCTCATCCTCGCCCTCATCTACAAAATCTTAATAATTTAATTAAATTTTCTGATGGCATGTTTACAACGCCAGATTTAAAGCTGGCAGAATTATACAGCAAAATATTTTATTTTAAAGGTGAAAAATATAAAGTGGTTTTTCAACATTTGGTTAAAGAAAAGTCTGGTTAAAATCAAGAGATTTGATATCAGGAATGATCGACTTGATGAATATTGGGTTTCTCCTCGTGAAAACGAGTTAAAACCATTTGATGTTCTAGTCAAAAAAGTTGAAAATTGCGATTAATGAATAATAAGCAAGCAATTGTTTGTTGTTAATCAAATGATCACGTGGTTAGCGTGTGACAAATTTATTTTTCAATAAATAGATGACCAATTCCAATTTTTGTCTGTAAAAATTTTTTTTTTTTATATATTAATAAATATTTTTTCGAATTAAAAAAAAAAAAGGTAAAGTCTATTCAATCTATTGATAACATAACTTCATCAATTAATACTTCTATTATGAATCAAAATCGAAAACAAGACATAAGGCAACTTGTTTCACAACCGAAAAATAATCCATCCAAGACTACTACTACTGTCTTACCATATAATGAATATTCTTTATCCAAGGATAGATTCTATAATGCTCAAGTTTCATCATTACAAAATGTTGTTGTAAAAAATGAACCATCAACAACTAATATAACTACCAATAATCATAAAATCCCGTCAATCAAATCCCTTAAATTAAATAATCCAGATATTCAAGATTTACCTGTTGGTACATGTTTGTTCTTGAAAAATTTGTTTTTTACAAATAATAAATGGGAAAATTTTGTTTTATAATATTTTTAGTCAATATTACAAATATTTGTTAATGGAAATGTGTATAATCATGCGTTAATTCAATACAAAAATGTTGAAAGTGTAAAGAATGCAATTGAAAAAGAAAATGGTAGAATTTTCAATGGATCAAGACTAGGTAAATAAAATTTATTTAACCTTCAATATTATAACTAACATTGTTATTATTTATTGTTGTTGCTGTTGTTGTGATTTTACATAGTATTAGAAGTATTCCGTAATAAGAGACATCATAATCATAATCATAATCATAATTCTTCAATCCAAATTGGTACCAATTATAAACAAGGAAAAGCCCAAAAGCCTCAAATTGATTACGATAGAGAATACTCGCCTGTTACCAATTATTATGTCGACCTTGATCATTATTATTCGTATCAAAAGAAATTAATGAAAAGAAAAATAATGGTGAACCTCATCGTCATGATAAAATTAAAGAAAAACGGTCAATGAACTGACCAAATCCTATAAAATTCCAAACAAAGGCTTTAATGCCACTGAACAGAGATTATCACGTGATTATAACAATAAACCTATTCCACCCGAGCCTACTAATTCTAATTATCCAAATATTGATATGTCCAAGATCGATCCTAACTTTTTGAAAAGTTTGATTTTGTTTCTCTTGCAAATTTACTTTATACAATACCGCAATATCAACAGCAAAACAAACTTTTCAACAGTGTTAATTCAAATTTACTACTACAACCAAACTTAATAGTTTCAAAAATTTATTATTATCAAATAAGGACAATCAATCATATTTGGAAATGTATCCGAATAACTTTCTTCATCAATACAATGCCTTTTATTATAACGAACCATTATTTAACAACATTCACACTTTGCAATAAATCATTTATAAATTTATTTTCATATATTTTATTTATTATTTTTTGCTCTTTATTTTGTATTTAAACTATTATTTATAATCAATAAGAGGATTTTTTAACAAATTTCATGCTTATAAAACCCAACCGTATGCTTCTTCAAATATGATATAACATTTTCATCCAGTTTTTACATTTCCTAATTTGTAGACAATTACAATTTAACAATTATTATAGAACATCATATTAATAAACGTAAAAAACGTTTCCTTTTTTTATTTTTTGTTATCATAAGTGGTGATCTCATATAGGGTTCCTAACCGTAATTATAACTCCATGTTCGAATATTAATATTCGTAAAGCCAAAATTACGAATTTCGAATATTATTTCGGATATTCGTAATTATTTCGGATACTTGTAATTATTTGAATGCTCGTTATTTCAGATATTTGTATAAATTCTAACAAACTATTATTAATTTTTCTTGTTCTTTAATTGATAAAGTTTCTTTTTGGACATCATCAATTTGATTTTTCATTTCAAGCTGTATCAAAAAATTATTAATAAATTATATCATCATACAAATCAAAGAAATTACCAACAATTTTTATCAGGTGTAAGTATATTATGACATTCTAAAAATGATTTATACAATTGAAATATTAGGAAAAATTTTCCATTTGGGTTTTGAAAGAATTACTTTTTAAATGAAAATGTTTCTGAACAAATATTTTAATTGTTGTAAAAATATATGTTATCTTTATTATCTTTGAAAAATGTTTGTTATAAGTTATAAATAAGTTAATGCTATTTTTTATCAATCGATAATCATTCATGAATTGTTACAATATTATCGTAACAAATGTTTGAAATGATTATATCCGAAATAATTACGAGTATCTGAAATAATTACGAAATAAATTATATATTAATATATTCAAATATCCTTGAATAAATTGATTTTCGGTTAGGAACACTAATCTCGTAAAAATTTTGACTACATTTTTACGATCTTGAATCGTTTGTAAGGATATTAATGTGGCGATACAACGCATTGGAATTGCGTGTATATTGATCAGCGATAATTCGGCATGATCAGGGGATTATTGCAAAAAGTTTTTTGGTTCTGCTTATTCAGAACTCGGGACAGCTCAGAACTTAAAATCTCCAGTATGCTTATTTTTCAATGGATGCACATATTCTTTGCCATTTGATGTAATAATAATCATAATAAAAAAAAAATTGTTGCCATTAGGCGACACAAATAAAATTTTTTAGGTTCTCATCACTAAAAATTTTCAAATTGACCTGGAACTAGTCATGAATTACTTTTATGTATTGTAAAGGTCATAAAAGGAATTCATATTATTTTCAAAAATATAAAGATGTTAAAGATAATAAATAGAGAATATCTTGAGGAATAGAACAACCACAAGCCAACTAAAAAATCTTTGCATTTACATAATCCGTATTTTGTTGACAATCTTTTATCATTATTTAAATGCAGTGACTGGGATTAAAAATATGGATAAAAAAATGATAGAAGAAACAAAAATCTTGAAAAGCAATTAATATGGAAAACAACAAATCAATTGATCAGCAAAGGTGATTAAATAAGTTTGTATATAATTTATTATGATCTTAATATAGCAATATAGCAATATAGGATACAGAATGTGGAAAAAAAACACCAAAATCATTGTCACAATTCCACAGTAGTATTCACATTATTCTTTTCGACATCACCTCTTTCATTGTTATTAGGATTTCCCTCTGTATAATTTGTATCTTTAATTCTCAATGAAACAAAGAATGCGCCGGGCATTGATGCAGCCAATAATGCCCAACAAATAAAAAATTCAACAAGAAAACTTGTCTTGACTGCATCAATCCTCCATGATATTGCTCCACCTGCTGATTGCATTGCTTTATAACATCTATATAATGGTTTGATTATTAAAAAAAATTTACGTTATCTATTATATATATTTCAATATTTATGTTTTTTTTTGTTTATATTAATTACCCTGCATATCTTGCAATTACTGATGCATCATTTGTGAGAGCTCCAAGAATCTAATATGCATAGCACTAAAAAACATATTAAATTTAAAATAAAAAAATACCTACTACTATACACATACTCTTACAAATAATATAATTCACCTGGAACATAGCATCACATAAACCATATGCAATATAAAGTATTAATTTTTGAGCATAACCATTATCGAATAAATCTGCAGAAATTCCTATAGTCTCGTCAACGCCACTATTATCTCTAGGTAATTTACCTTGTCGATCATATCCCAATTGATTAAACAGTCCACCTAACCAAGTAACAAAAATTACTATTGACAATAGAACCAGACCAAAAATGGCACGCTTTTTTCTTGTTAATTTATCAAAATCTAAAAATTTTCCAATAATAATTGCACCAATAATTTGTGCAAGCCAATAAAATAGATTGTTTAAGGCTCTTGTCCGTATATTGAAATAGAATGCATTAACAACATTAAACTACAAAACAAGCAAAATTTTTTTGATTATCAAATTGTACTTTAAATATAATCATTATAAACATCATCATCACTGACATTGTTGTTATAATTATGTAGTTACCTCATAAGCATAAAACCAATTATTGGCAAGAAACATTGGAGTTAATAACAACATATTAGGATCCAAAAATAATTTCAAAACGTTCAAGAATTCATTACTCCATTTTGGATATTTTTGTAAAACGACAGATGAACCATCATTATGGTAAACTTTTGATGGAGGTAATAAACATAATGACAAAATACTTCCGGATGTCATCAATACTATAAAACCTATATACGTGCCATCATTAACAGATTTTGATTCGGCTGACCAATTTAATGCCAATTGAATTATAGAACCTACTACACCCCCTAAATTAAATATCATCCAAAATAAACCAATGTATTTTCCTTTATTAGATTCTTTTGGATATGATAACATTATTGCGCCTTGGCCTGTCCAAATAAGTGCTGCGCCTACGGTAACCCATAAATATAATTCACGAATTAAATCATTTTATTAAAATATAAGTTTTTTATTTTTCCCAAAATCATTAATTGATTATTTAATTAATTACCGAAACCAAGTATAGCACCAGCAGCTACGACAAAAGATTCGGATTCTTTATGGTTGTAGTATAGTAAAGAAGCTGAATATAATCCATAGGTTATCGCCCCTAATGCCATCGAATAAGATGGTCCTAATTTATTAACAACGGCCCCGGAGAAGAATCCACCAATTGAAAAACATGTATACAATGCAACATTTCCATTTGACGCTGCAGTAGGATCTAATTGTCCTCCACCTCCCATTCCTAGTTGATTTTATGTTGATGTGATGTTATTAGATAATTTTTTTAATGGTTTTTTTTCCTGAAAAAATCATAATTACCAGCTAAAGCATTAAACATTCCAGGTACTAAAAAGAAAATAAATCCTAAAATTTAAATTTAAACTTTAAATATTAGTATATTGATAAAATCTATTCAAATAAATTTATTCTTATTATTATTATTTACCAACAAGCACAACTTGTGTCAAAGGACTCGAGTATCTAAAACTTGAAAACAAATTTTTTATTCCCATTATCACGATGTTTTTGCTTTAATTTTTTCTTAAAAAATTAAAGCTCGATAATAGATTAGTTTTATATAACTTATTTGTGTTCAATTAATTGGTTAGGCCTTTAATATTTCGATTTGTTTTCAGTTTAGTTTTAGTTTTACTCAGTCGCTCAATTTATATAATTAATAAATAATAAAAAACTCCTCCGATTTCATTCATAAAATACATAGGATTGAGAAAACGTTTAAAATGAAAATAAAAAAAAATACAATTTTTGTCATACAAAATTCAAAATATCGCATTTTATTATGTCCGTATCCCTAGATAGATATATATTTTTTTTTATGCATGCAGATAGATATATTATTAATATACTAATATATAAGTTAGTGTTTCCGCAGCAATCTGACGAATATTTTAACAATTACAATTATTAAGGTTTTAATTCATCCACCATCACTAGATTTTGATCGACTAGTGCTATATAGATGAATTATGAATGAAAATTATCAATGGAAAATTCTATAGATAACAACAATAATAGAATTTAGCTGTGAGTAACGAAAGTTAGTTTGTAAACAATATTTATACGTATTATAAATAATTGATTCTTATGACACGCCATTCTGGACAAAAAGAGCATGATGGAAGTTTGATTTTATTGGTTGTAAAACGTGCCAAAATCGAATTACTCCTGGTCATCAAAATTATGTAATTTTGGCTATAAAATTTGTGTTACACCTCTTTCGCGTTTAACATCCTATTTATCACAAAGTGACAAAATTGAACGTCGATCTTTTTTATATTGTGAAACAGAAATTTTCAATTATTT